TGTACCAACCGACCCATTCCAAGAAAATGACCAGCAGCAATACACTGAACGACCCCCTATACGTTCTGGTTTTCTTCTTCACGCCAATAGCATCATGACCCATTGAAATCAAAATCCGAAATCTCAATCGCAACCAGCAGCCCAAGATTAGTCCAGAAATTGACCCAAAATGCGAAACCCAACAGCAATTCCCAGCGGCCCGGACACATGAAACAAAAATATAGTCCCAATGTCTCTTCACGCGACAAAGTAGCGAGGAACAAAGAGAGTACGCTGCGACCTTGTCCTCATCCTCAACGTCTTTTTCCATGGTATGATATCAGCAGCAAAGGCAGGCACGCGTTTCCCCCTTTCTTCCTCTTCCGAAAAGAGTCAGAATTGCAAGAAAAAAGTGTCTCGCCCGAATTGGTGAAAGAGTTTGGATTTTTGAATTTCGAATGGACCCTTGTTTATCCCAAATTTTCGTTTGTTTCCCCCTCATTTTTGGAACCCTAAGCTTCCCCTCTATAAGTAGTTTCTTACTGTTCAGTGTTTGGGGGGGATTTTTTGGATGAAAAAAAAAATACCAAGAACAGCTTGAGAAAATTAGTTAAAAATAGACATTAAATACCTTTCAAAGCAGAGGAGGTAACTAGTTTTTCAGTATTTGGGACTTAATATTCTGCCCAGATTTCCTTATTGTTGCTAGTGTTTGAACTTCGTGGTGGAAGAATCGTAGTTGTTGGCTTGTTGTCCCCGTTCGCTGCTCATAGGTATACAACTCACAACTCTTTTATTCAACTACTTTTAGCAAAGAATCAGACTCGAGTTATGTTCTATGTGTTAATCGATTCGTGCTCATATGAGGTGTTTGAGGTTAGATGTGGTATGTAATCTTCATCTTATTTCTTCTAGATTGAATGTGTGCTTCGTTTTCGAGTTGTCTCAATATCCATTTGAGTCTATCTTACTTGTTGATAATGTTTTCAGATGTAGAGTTTGTTGTATTCGCTTTATGTTTAATTCCTTTACTTGTTGACCGCATCGATATTGCTCTGGTCATATTTTATCGAGATGGTGCGATTTATTCGTCACATGTTTCTGAAAGTGTCAAAAATCTATTCTTCTTTTTCTAGAATCTATTTTCGAGTTTAAAACAACAGTTTGGACGGATAAATGGAGCCTAGCTTTAGTATTGGTTGCCTTACAACATGATTGATTCCTCTGTTTTTGTTTGTTGGATCTTTCTTCCTCTCGTTTATATGTTGTTTAAGTCTAGTTTGAATGTGTTGTTCTCCAGAAATTTTGTTATTGTCTCTGTTCTGTTCTGCCTTGTTTATTAGTGGAGTGTGTGTCAATCACGGTGCCCAAAGTCCCTCTCGTTCATGTCTTTTTTTCTTCTTCTGTGATTCTCTACTAGTATTAAGTGTTGATTTGGTCCTTGTTAATATACTTAGTTTTTTTTTCAACTATAAAAATATAATAATAATAATATAAGCTTCATTTATTCTTCATCAATTGTCATCCACTAGAAAGAAAATTCCTTCACTTTTGTTACTTTGAGTTATTGTAAATTGGTATTTGTTCATTACGTTTTTACTTTTAAAGTTTCGATTTTTCTTAGCCACTTTTTATTTGCCAATAAGATACGACGTAGCTTATGTTTTAAAAAACTCTGGTGGCATGGTAAATTGTTTATTCTTGGAATTTTGTCTCTGTTTAATGTCTGGCTATAGTCAATATTCGCCTAAAGTCATTAAATCCTTTACATTGGAATAGAGTTTGTGAACTTTTCTTTCGAGTGCTTAAAAAAATAAAAAAAAAATAATAATAATAATAACAATAAGACTGAAAACAGTGGTAGACTGATTTTGTTTTGTTTGATATTTATCCGTATTAAATGAATGAGCGGCAACTTACATTCTGTCTTTTTTATGCATGTGAAATTTATCTGAGTTCATTATGAACTCCTATTTCCTCCCTTAGCATCCCGAGAGAGCCGTAAGGGCTCTAATTTCTTTATCGAGTCAGCCAGCCATTAAAAGTCGGCGAATAGGTCCCGAAGTTGAAAGAAGCAACATATCGAGAAATTGAAACCCACTCTTTTTTAAGAAATTGTATTTTGTTATTTCGGGCCTAAGCCCCTTGTTATTTTAAAGGAAAAATTACTTATATACACAACTTTACTTACCTTATTCTCAATTTTTCCCCACTTTTTTTAAATATTTCATAAATTCCTTTTATTACTCCTTTACACTCATCTCCCGGATACATAACTGCACATCTCCTAACCCACGTCTATTTCCCAAATTTTTCACTCCTCAAATCACGCCATATCTCTCTCCCATGATCTTATCAGTTTAATTTTGAATTTGAATTTCAAGATACTTCTCTCTCCAGTCAAACGATTTCTCACTCCTTTTAGGTATTGTTTCAATTTCATTACTTTTGCTAATAGTTGTTAGGTTTTTTTGTTGATTCAAAATCCTGATACATTATGGATGATGCTCCCTCTTTCAGTATAGGTATTACCCAAATAATGTCATCTAACAATAATCGTGTGTTTGACCATGAAGACGCAGGTGGGGCTGAGAATAGATCGAAGAAATGCATGATCCCCTTATAATGGCCAAAATGAGTATCGAGAAAGTCAAGAAGGATGTGCCTTCTTCTTCAAAATCAAAGGTTGAAAACCCCCCTAAAAAAGGGGTAGAAAAGTATCATCTCCAATTTCCCGTCCTAATTTACCCAAGGTAATGAGTTCTGATCTATTTTCCTCTTTTTTTGTTGTTCAATCTTAGATTTAGTTGTTAATTTCAATTCATGATACATTACTGATAGCTTTATGCAATTTAAGTTTTTCTACAATAATTTTCAGTAAGTTTCAATGTATTTATCATTATTGAACTTAAATATATATCAGTACTAACATATCATATACGTGCATACAAAAATATATAGTTTAGTTGTTCTCAAACTTTTTGTTTAACTGATACAAAATTTTGTCAGTTGTTCTTCTCAATGTATCAACTTGTAAATATAGTTGTAACAGGCTTAATTATGTATAACTCTCAATTAATGACATACACTGTGTTGTAAAATACTTATTCAAGTATCAATCCTGACTTATAATCTATAATACATTAGTAAGGTATAGTGTGTATTAGACACAAATGTTAACTTTGTGTATCAAATACAAATATAACATTTGTGTATCAGATACAAATATAATAATCTTTGTAAGTTGAGTTGTCTATTATTCAACATGTATCATGTTTATAATTTTTTATGGCTTTAATTGCTGTTCATTTGTTTCATTATAGTCTGTGAAATACAAGATAAAACAAATTCCTGCACACTCCTTGAGGTTTGGTTCAACATACAACATGGGTTTTGCAGAAGAGTTGAAGTTGTCTATAGGGATTGATGGTGTTGAGAAATTTAAGAATACAATTTCCGGTCCATATCTCAACATTCCTAATTGAAATTACCAAGGGCAAATAACAAAGTGTCTATTACTACTTGAGCTGGAGCAGGATAATATAGATGAGCTCCATATTCATCATGCTAGCGGAAATATTTTGCATTTCACTATCAAAGAATTTGCCATCATTACCGGCCTGAAATGCACAAGAAATGTTAATGAATTTAAATATCTTGATTCCACTTACAGTAGATTGATTTAAAGATATTTTCCTGATTCACAAAACGTTGTAAACAAGAATCGTTTAGTTCAAAGATTTCGGATGGGTCAATGGGAGAATAGTTAAGATGCTCTTGAAATGGCAATCCTATATTTCATTCACACTTTTGTCTTTTCCCAGCTTGGTGATGCAAATATACCTATCCACCATTTCTATATGGTTGAAGATAGAAGGTATCAACAGTTTCCATGGGAACAGATTGCATTCTCAAAATTGATAAAATCATTAAGACAAGAGTTCACCAAAGAAAAGAAGATGTATCGATTAGCCAGCATGCCATATGTCCTGAATGTTTGGATATATGAATGTGCCTCGGTAGTCGGTGATGAAATTGCAGTCAAAGTGGGAAGTTTTATACCTAGAATATGCAACTGGCGTGTTATGGGAGTCAAGCCAAAATTTGGCATGTTTATGTCTAGCATCTTCTCCCAGGTATAATATATGTTTTGACAGTGTATAATGAACAATTTTCATGTCATATAAATGTATCATTTTTGTTATTATTGTTACATAATCTTGTTTATTATGTTGGTTTGGATACGTAATCCGAGGAAATGACATCACTTGATTTGCCTGGTAATGTTGATGCTTCTCATAATGAACATCAAAATTCAGCTGCCAAGTCCAATCTTGTTCAACCACAAGAACTTTCCGGATTTGAGGATTTTTCTATTAATCCTGTGGATTAGTTTTTAAGGAGATCAAGACGCGCTTCAACTACATCATCTACACCCCCTCCAAAGAGGAGAAAGAATGCTCATCCCGTTAAACCAGATGTTATTGATGTTAATCAACCTGAACAATCGGTTGTGCAATCAAACAAAAACAGTCCAATTCCAATTTCAGGTGTTAATGTACCCGATGTTCATGTTCCTTCACTAGATCCTAAAGAACCTACTGACAGATCAGGGATTAAACAGGTTAAGAAATACCTGAAGAAATATGTAAGTGATTGTTTTATTTTGTTTTGACAGTTATTACATATTGACAGTTATTACATATTCACTTATATTGTATATATATTTTTAGATTGACAAGAAATTTCAGCATTTAGAGGATTTAATCAAATTAAATCACAAGCAGTTGATGAATGTTGTTCGGAATCCACACAAGCAAGAAGAAGAGGCAGTGTATTATTTCTAAAATAATACACTGTTAAAACGAATTTATTTGTTTCATATGTACCTCTTTTTCTTCGTGTAGAATATTTCTGGCACATCTACGAGTCTTACCATGCCAGAGTTCAATCAAGAAGATCATGTTGTTCGTCCACCTACCACTAACTAGCTGTTTGATAAACGGAGTTCACCTATTACGATGGACGTGCCCGACAATGATCGATTTGAGGTAGATGTTGTTGAGGATCAAGAACAAAATCTTATCCCTAAACCAAAGATTGTAGAAGTAAGTTTTTAACAATCCTGATTAAATATGGAGTCAAATATTATTCATTGAAATATTAACGATACATTAACTAATTACTCATATTGTTCAACTTGAAAACATAGGATGTTGATACATGTAAGGAAAAAGAAGGTAGGAAGGATGTATCAGATCTTCCACACATAACAGAAGTCCATGATGAAGCAAATGTACATCAACAAGATAATGTAAGTTCAATTTTGTATATGTATGATACATTAGTTTGTCAATGTATCATTTTAACATACATCATCTTTTTTAGGAAGATGTACCAGTTAGAGGCTCCAAAACATTTCATCAAGTAATGTTGGATGAACATGATGCTGATAAAGTGAAGGATAATGTCATAAAATCTGATAAATCGGTAAATCTTACAATTAGTTACCACGTAAATTAATAATACCATTTTACAATTTTGTATTCATTTATCTAATCTATATTATAATTGTATCAATTAATATAGGGTTCGATAAATTCGGATTCAGTATCAGCTGGTACTCAAGAAGCAGCAGATACACTTTATGGCATTCATGCTCCAATGGATGCTCAACCACTACAAGTTGTCACTCCCCAACAACTTACTGACACACATGATTTGAGATCGGGTAACCTGTTACCCATGGATACAAACGTAAATGAAATAGTGGTCCATGAAGTGTCAAAGACACCTATTCAAAGATTGAGACTGCCATCAAAGATCTTCCAATCACCATACGTGACTATATTTGGGTCTAGCGACAAAGGAAAAGAGAGAGTTGATTCAGAGTTACACATTCGTCCAAATCACCCATTTCAAGATTATGGTATTATTTTTCAACCTCCATCTGCTTTACTTGATCAGTACCAACAGTGGTTTTCAAAGGGCCTTCTTAAAACACATGACAAGAAGTAAGTTATCTATCAATATATCCAAATACTGTTAGATCATTATTTGTTTGAATCTGCATTGAGTTTTAATAATTATATAGGAAACCAAAGGAGGACAAATACAAATGCAATTCAGCTTCTTTTGGATTTGAGCAGATAGACTTCGTTGTTGCATTTCCAATTAATAAAATTTGGTTCTATGCCATGTCGCAGCCAAAGAAATGTTGGACTAATGAGGTATAATAGTAAATTCAAGAATAAAGATTTATCAAGATGTATCTGATACATCTTTAAAAATGTATTTGATACATCTGTTTGTATCTGATACATCTTTAAAGATGTATCTGATATAAAATTATGTTTACACCTAGACATAGCATATATGATATATCACAACATACATTTTATTTATTTTCACTAAATAATTTATTTTGCAGCACATCGATGTAGTTTTTTACTACCTTAGGAAGAAATCAAAATTGTGAAGCCTGGATCAATACAGATACACCACAGTTAACTGTTTATTCAAACATACATCAATAACACACATGAAAGGTATCATTGCAGTCTTGCCGATGACAATCTTAGTACACAGGAACACATGGCGCGTGGGTCTGTTGTATCTGGATTCGAGCGGTCATTGATGAACATTATTAATGGTTTTGAGATTCCTGCTGGTTTACCGTGGCACTCATCTGATGATGTTTACATTCTGGTGAATTGTGATGGACAATTTCATTGGGTTTTGGCTGTTGTTGTTTTGAAAAAGAGGCTAATACGTGTCTACGACTCAGCATCTGGATCAAGGAGAAAATTTATTCGGGAGACATTAAAAAGTTATCTCTAATGTTGCCTATTTACCTCCAGGACAGTGGAATTTTTGATCATTCCGAGCGAACTGATTGGTCATCTCTTGATGCTTATAAGGACAAGGAAACTGAAAGTCTATTGGAACCAAAACACCCTTTTCTTGTTGAATATGTACAAGACATTATTCAACAAGGAAGCGACACACCGTAAGTTTTAAAACATCTTGTTTTAAAGTTTATGTTCAATATATTTTTGTATAATGTATCTTTTTCATTTTGTAGGGATTGTGGTTTGTTTATTGCCGCCTTTGCTGAATTCCTTAGCGATGAAATTCCAATCCAATCCAATAATTTCTGTTCTGATTATCTCCGGTCAAGATACACAGCATTGCTATGGAATTACGGCAGTGAAAAGGCTGAAGCTGGATACGTTACTGATAATGACGATCCATCAAAGCCTAGGGGTCATTTCACACCACCAAACCATGATGTGTTGGTTAACCTAGAGTAGTTTTTGTGCATCAATGGATACACAATGTTTTGTTTGTTTTTACTACTTTCAAGATATATTAACTTAAGTGTTGAAGGGTTTCTCTTAAAACTTGTTTTGTTTGACTTTTTAATATCAATAAATTTTGTTCATTTAATCTTGAAATGTATATTTGTGTAAATTTACAAATTCTAATAATCAAACATTATTATTAAATCATCATCAATATAAAATGCACATAAATTTGAGCAAACTTTTTTTCCTAACAACATCAATTCAATTTACTGTATCAAAAACATTTAACAGAACAACACACTAAACAGTATATTACGTTTATAATCTAAAACTTATTGAATTGAAAATTATAAATCTTAAACATCATGTATTCTAAAAAAAACTATTAAAAAGTTGTAATCAATAGATAAGTTAGCTAAGATTACAATTTCTAACACAATATTTTGATAATGTATATACAACAATAGCTATAATCAATATGATACATGATTTAATAATATATTTGATACATACTTTCTTATTTATTGTGACAAATACATTGTTGAGAATTTATGTATCATATGATTTCTCTGATACAATAGCTTATTTAAGCTAGATAGGTTATTTATGATTTAATGAATATGATACATTAGATATTATGTAAATGATACATACACATAGTATATTTTACACATAATGTATATGATACAAATGCACCTAAATATTTGTATATCGGAGATAACATTTACACACAAATCATAACAATTTATTGAATTGAACAACAAAAGTAATAAACAAACGTACCAAAATAACATCCAACACACAAATCATAACAAATTCTTAAATGGATCCGCAAAACTCATAAATATTGAATCAAAATAACCAAAAATAAACAGTAACATTTATTCATGATCAATATAAAAGTGATAATCCATTGAGTCAAAAATTATTCAACAAAAACATAAATGTCTTATAAAAATAACGATTTCACTTTTCTTTTGGGAAGAAAGTACAAGTTCTTTTGTTGTGACCTTCTTGACCACAGCGTCCACAACAGTTTATCTTTACTATTATCTTTTCATCTGCATTTTTTTTCTTCTTTTCCTTGGTCGTCAAGCCAATCTTTTATATCTAGGTGGCCACACAGTTTCATCTACGACATTGCTAGGAACCGACCAATCTTCCTTATCTGGCATTGGAACCATTGGAACCTCATATGTTTTTGCTAATGTATCAATTTTGTAGTAATCAAAGCAATAAGGATGCATATTTGTGACATTCTTGTCCTTTAAAACAGCAATTGCATGTGCGCAAGGTATCTCATCTAGTTGAAATCTGCCACAAGTACATTCTTTCCTCTCAAGACAAACAATATATCTTCTTCCAGCTTCATAAACCGAGAAAATAAATTCAGATGATGGAACAACCTGCAGACATTAAAAAGTAATTGATAAATTTATTTCAAGTAATGCTGATCAAATAGCCGAATGATATACCAAATTAGATACAAAATATAAAATTATGTATCCTGATATATACCTTCATCTTCGAACATTTAGATGCGTTTATAATCAATATCTCCTCAAATTTTCTCCCCAATGTATCTTTTGTATAAGAGGCTATTTCTCTATTTTTGCAATGCCAAGAACCAAATAGAATTCTAACCTCTTCTAAGAATTCTAATATAGACAACTGACGCGCCTCAACAAGACAACCATTGATACATTCCGCTATGTTCAAAGTCATCATTCTACCTCTATTTACTGTTGAATGAACTCTCGACCACTTCTCATACCCAGCATCCTAAGGTACTCCTTAACCCTGTGGTCAACTTTATCCGCCTTAGCCATTAATGTATCGAAATCCTCCTTTCTATATGCCTTGGCCATAAAGTAGAATAGATCACTTATAGTGTTTCTGCTCCTTTTGAAGTTTCCACAGACATTCTTCCAAAGATGTCATATGCATGCATAGTGAGGTACAGTTGGGAACACAATTCTTACACTTTTCATAATACTCTCATTTCTATCAGAAACAACACACATTTTTTCACGCTCGCCAAATGCATTTTTGAATTGTTCGAAGAACCATGTCCACGAACAGTCATTTTCAGTGTCTACAACCCCATATGCCAATGGCAATATGCAACCTAATTAAAGATCAACACACATGATTTCATTTGATACATAACATTTACAATATAGATACATATTAAACAAGATCACAATTACAAAAAATACATACCTGCCCCATCAAGTGTGCTTGCTGATAAAAATGTACCTTTGTAAGCTCTACCAAGATGTGCACCATCGACAATAACTACCGGTATGCAGTAATCGAACCCCCTCATCAATGGTCTTAAGGCTATGAACAGATACATGAATTCATCTTCCACTGACTTGTGCATCCTTATATAAGAATTTGGATACACATTATTCAATATGTATAGGTATCTCGGCAACTTCTTATATTCATCTGATGGTTTACCCCTTAGCATTTCTAGTGCACGTTCTTTAGCACGCCATGCTTGCTGGTAAGATATTTGAACCCCATAGAATTCTCTAATATCATCAATTATATCTTTTGGAGTATGAATTCATTTATGATTGACCAATTTAGGAACAGTCACACCACTAACAAACCCAACTGTTGCTTGAACTTTGGTTAGTATCCTATCCCGCATTGGACATGTATGTTCACTATTAAAGTATCTTACTTCAAAAACATCAGTGTTTTTCCTGCATGACGCCTTCATAGTCCAACCACATTTAATCGAAAAGCACACCAACACATAGTTGTACAATGTTTTTCATCATATTAATACATATAGCAGTTACATTTTATATGACATTAATGTATCAACAATATTAACTACCATAACGCATAATATCACCATACTTTTAAATTTCTAATTTGTTTCATACATTACGCATAAATCAAAGTTACAAAATGTAGCGGATACATTATAGACGCTACTCAATTGTGTGCGCTTCTTGGATGTATCATCTAATCAACAAAAAAATTACAACAAATCAAAAGCACCATCACACAACTTCTAAGAATAATACTGTATCAAACACATTAGAAATTTAAATGTATCATCCGATGTAGATCTTAAAATTAAAAACATTAATTCAAAATTCAGATAAAAAAAAACCCATACCTTTGTCTATCCGATCTTTTTACTTTGCAATTGAAGTTGTTCTTTATTTTATATTTGGCCATCACATCTATCAGTGTTGCTTTATCCTTATACAATTGACCTGTCTTCACATCTATACTGTTTGAATCAATTATGTAATTTGTAACTTCTAATTCTGGAATATAATATGAATCACAAATTCTTGATTCAACCGCTGCAAGAGCTTCTGTATCCCTTGTTGTACCTTCGATACATGTAATCTCTCCGCATGTTCCATCAAAGCTATGTATCTCACCGCCAATTTTATCCGTTGTAGCAATACATAATGGATACATTGCAAAACCAGGCTAGCTCACTTTTTTTCACTTCTAAATATAGTCCAACACCCATGTCGTTCTTAATTTTCATCGGACATGAATCACCTTCTACGATGTATCGAATTTCAATATTTTTTCTTACCTCATCGATCTCTAACTCGGCTATAATGGTTGCCTTGAGATTCATAAATGAAATTGATTGTCCAACAACAATTCCATCACTTTTGTATCCTTCATAATTAACTTCGCAAGCCCAAATTCTTGAATGCCTCAACAAAATATATATATTCATCTTGTATCAAGTTTCTTTTTGAAATTATGAATTTTTTAACATCAATGGCTTTTCAAAAATCGTCTTCAATGGAGAAGATGTATTTTTGAATTTTGAAATTGGTGATTCTGATCCCTATTAGGATATGGAATGATTATGATTAGGATCAGTTAGGCGTAAATCTAGGATATTAATATAACTAAAATAATTTGTACGTTTTTTTTCCTTTTTTAGTGCAACAATAATTTGTTTCTGATGTATCGTTTATAATGTATCTTGGTGGAACCAATGTATCCGGCTGCATCCATTTACAAGGGATTTTTGTAATATAGATATTATTAGGGATATGATGTAATTTACATATTAGACTATGGGATTCCTTTAATTTTTACTATTTTAAATTGCTATTATTGTGTTAGTTTAGGACAGGTGGAAGAATTTGGCCTAAGGCCCAAAAATAGAAAAAATATTTCTATTATGTTAGAATAGGACAGGTATAAATGATTTCAATGGGCCAAAGGCCCAAAACTGAAATCAAGCCCAAGTACTGGCCAGACGGATAGGAAAACCAGACTTGGGTCCAAGTCTCTCTCTTTATTTATTATGTTTGTTTATTTTTTATCGATTTTAAGGTTTCGAACATTCAAACCCCCAAAAGACACCCATTTTGAATTAATCACTTAACTAAATTATTCGTCTCTTACTTGACTTTTTTTTAAAAATAAGTTTACAAAATACTTCACTTAAATAATATTGCAATATTTTTCTATTTCTCCCTTAAAATGGTCCTAACTATAAAATAGTTCAGTTTTGCAATTCAAGCTAAGTTAAAATTATTTTAGCCAAATAATTAATTGCCGGATAACCACGTTTTAGCGGGCATATTGGGAGCTTTCAAACCCTTCCCGAAATGCTAATAAGAACCCCAAACCCATTTAAATATTTTCAATTGATTTCCTGTTTAATCTATTAAAAATCAGTTTTCTTAATTTTACCTTAAAAATTAAGTGGCGACTCTAAAACCACTCTAAAATAATTTTTTAAATAAAACAAGTATGTTAAGGATACAAATGATGAAATCATGAGAGAGTTTTATTTGGTGAAAACTCTAACATAACGTCATAAGGCGAATGTGAGTTGAGAGAAACAAAAATGAGAGTCTTATTGGTGAAAATTATAAGTGGGCACCGTAAGGCGAAAATGAGCAGTGAAAAATAAAAATAAAAATAAAAATGAGAGTCTTATGGGTGAAACCCAAACTGGGCATCATAAGGCGAATATGAGTGAGAGAATTAAT